GGAAGCTCCCCGTAGATTCCTACAATGGGAAGTGTCAACCAGTGGTGAGCAGAAGTCCAACTACGGACTCCAAACTTGTATCTCATTGATTCATATGAGGGCTGTCCGCCAGAGAGGTAATCAGTAGCCAGTTGGGACGCGGCGAAGAAGTGCGAGATGGGAGGATTGGCTTAGCAGATATGATGGAATACTTTCGCATCACAGAGAGAACCTTAGCTGAGAAGGAAGGGGCCTTGGAAATAATCCCAATATAATCCCTATGGATATTGGAAATTTGAAAACCAGCCCCGATCCGAAAATGATTGAAAACGGTGGCCGACAGCTTACGGGGAAATCGGCACTCAGAAACCCGGAGGAACGCTCGCATAGGGGCGTGTGCTTCTTTCGCTAAAACGGCCACAGAATTCCGGGTAACAGACGTACGAAAAGAGTGAAGGAAATGGAGAAGCAAGGCTTCAAGGAGTGCCACCAAGAGAACAAACGAGGCGACCATGGAATTGTGGGGGATCCCACTCAACGTATGAAGCAGCGATACGGCCGAAGGGGGTGCCAGCTGCACCTGCACACCCACCTGGAGTTAACCCTGCGCTTACCCAAATCCGAACTAATGGGCAGGGGCTGCTAGCGCTATTGGATACAGGCTGCTAAGTGGATCTCACATCTATAGTAACGGCAAGCAAGTGCAACCTCAGAGTCCATTCGTTTGCGCATTTGCTGCGTTAATTGCCACCTGCACTTCGCAGGTGGCAATTAGGACACATGAATCGGCAAAACTGTGGAAACTGTGAGCTCAACTCAGAAATGGCTCATATTACTGTGATACAGCACTACTACACTGGACATTGTGAGGGCCATATTCTAATTTTTTGTTTCCTCCGTGCGCCGGTACACAACAGCCAAGGTTCATGATCAAGTGGAGAGCGGCGGAGCGGTAGAAAGACTTTCCCACCTATTAGCGCCGTCTCGCCTTTAGCGCTTTCGCCTAAACCTTGCTCCCTGATTTCCTTCTGCACACTATTGCTGTCACCACAAATAAAAGTCATGCTGAACACGAACGATGAACATGATCCCTCCGCACCAAAATGAGGGAATATCTCTCTAGTACGAATTGAACGCTGTACCTTATGTCTGAGTTTACGCCAACGGATCGCATGAACTACGCGCTACAAGGTGGACCAACTAATAGTCATGGTCGACGGTATATGGAATTTCTAGCGTGAAACAGCCCACCAAATACCACGCCTGATGTGGGTGACATAATCTTGGGCGCGAATGCGGCCTCCAGAAGAGATTATTGGTATGTTCCGGGAAGCACTGAGAGAGTCACGTTTTAGAAGAACCTGAGTCTCGTCCGGGAAGCGCATAGCGAGTGTGCCTTTCCACCGTCCCAGCGGCATGCGTATCCTGTACTGTAAGAGGAGTGGAATCACTGCCCTAAGAGGAAAGGAAGGATGATGCTACTATGCGCCGCAGAAGCTCCGCAGGGGAACGACGGCGAAATTCATGTGGTCCGTCGTGGCGGTCTTACAAAGAGCGCGGTTTTCATAGGTTCGACCCAGTTAACACAGGAGGTACAGAAAGTAAGCACGATTGTAGGAATAGCTTTCAGACGTGTTAAATACAACAGCACTCTCAGCGGGATAGCCACGCGCTGGATCTCCAACCCACCGCGTCCGACTCACTGCCGGAGCAACGTCAAGCTGTGTTTCAAGGTGCAGGCAACCCGCAAAACTTGAAAGGGAAATCGAGTAGCCAGCAGATGAACTGCTAGGAAAAGGCACACTTCAACAGCAAAATAGTGCAGTTGCCCACAGTCTCGTGCTGGCGAAGAAAAGAACGAGAGGCTGCGCATGCAAAATCACGGTGGACCAAAAGTTTCCGGTACCCCGTACCGAGGATCTACTTGCTCGTCTGCAGGATTCAGCAGCTGATCCATCGTATAACGTTTCTGACCCGTTTTCCCAGATCGTAATACACCCTTACAATACACACAAGATTGCGTTCCCTACCCGCGCTCGCAAGTCAGGGAACGGCGGCATGCTGCTTGGGATAGTGAACGCATCCTCCAACCTGGTGCAGCAAGTTAATAACTGTTTCTTTGCTCAAATCACTGGTGTATGGATGGTTATGTACACACGCAACGCGCTAATGTTATACACCAATGTGCAAGAGCACTTGCTGCAAGTGCGGCGTGCAAAGGCCTGTCAGTGATGATACTTTTCGGGAGACGGCGGAGCTTCCAGAAATGAACATGAACAATTGGGACATCCGCTCTACTGTCACTGAAGTGGAACAGGGGACTAAGTGGGCATAGTTGTTGAGTCTATCCACGACGACGCACACAGTATCGCTGCCTGATGGGATGCCCACTGTGAAGCCCATTAAGATCTTTATCTAGACTCATTTGGGAATCAGAAGACAATAAAACGGTTTGGAACTGTTCGGCGGCTTTAGCCACTGGCATTCCCGTGAAATGAGGACATTTTTCTTTAGTGAGGCGGCCATTCCAGACCGCCGAAAAGGCTCAGTGTAGTGCGCGGGCACTACAATGGTAACCTATTTGGACTTTTAGAGGTCCATCTGGCCGAAAAAGTGCAAATAATATTTTATTAGAAATAAATCCAGTCACGTCAGACAGGAAATAGGGCCATCAGGGTGAGATTGGTCGGCGACAACCCAGGGTCTGGGGCTAGCTGAGAGGCTGGCCCTTCCGCCAAGGCGCTGCCTACTAGAGGGTCAGTGGGGGGTCAGATCTATTACTACCCTTTCTTATATGGAATACGGGACTCGGATATGAATTAGATACGTCAGGTATGCCAGAGATTGATGAGCCGTTTGCAGGGCGAAGTGCCTGCAATAGAAGTGTTGCCGACACTTTTCCACTCTCTCCCAGGCTGCGCAGAGCTATGTCTCTCGCACCGGACATCTCTGCTCTCTCCCAGCGAGCCTATGAGGAGTATAGGTGATTAGTTGATGCTTTGTCGAGTCTTTAGCTAGTTTAGAGAGCAGAACGTCAACTTCTGTGTCCCCGGCATAGATTGTTATAAAGAAGGGTCTGACGAACTCCAGGAAGCGCGAGGAGTGGATACGACGCCAGGTGCCTGATGAAGCCTCTAGAGGCTTTCCCTTTGGTCTTTGCCCAAAACAAGCTGTGAGTAGGTCCGCCAGAGATGCGTTGATGATGCGGCGAATCCAGGGATGACTTTTAACCATTTTCTGATTGCGGCCGGCTTGGCCAACCCGAATAACCATTTGCTCTGCATCTGTGTAGTTTCGAAGCCACCCTTCCTTCTTCGCTTTCAGCTAGAACGGCGGATGAGGCGCTTTCTCACCCTTTGATGAGTAAGTACACTATCATCCCGGCGAGGTCAACGCTTTCACCCACTAGTTCGCTAGCGGCGGCACAGCTGGTTACCGGTTGCCCTTTTCCGGGTGCTAGCCCTGCTCTGAACCATGCCTATAAAAGCGTCGAGCTGATCGTCGAACTTCTGCTTACCAAGGGTTGCTGCTTCACGATGTAGAACCCTATTGGCAGCTTACCTTGTTTAAGGCTTCTCAGTTCTGTTACGGCCCGTTCTCTTGCCTACCTTGGAACAAGCCTACGTCGCAGCGCATGCTGGTGGGTTCCAACAATCCTGGTGCGCTGCGGGAAGTTGGTATACCTGCTTAGATAAAACCAACTTTTTCGTGCCTCCCCTTTTAGTGCCGAAGACGCCAGTGCCAACTGTACCTCTTCGGGCGCCTTTTGGAGACGGAAGTACAACGGCGGGGAAGCAAAGAACTCCTGCACTCAGCCCGCATCGCAGCGCACTTCATATCTGGAGGGTCGACAAAGGCGGAGGCATTCTTCATGAATCGCCATTATGCAGGGCGAGGAAAGGAAGTAATCTGTATTGAAATCTCCGGAGAACATCTGAATTCCTTTTGTGCTTTCTATGCACTTCCGGAACCAATCGCTGCTATGCACCAGCCCGCCTTGCTGTGGGGGTGGGGTTCGTTACTCGCATATGTCTCAACGAGCAAGTGTAGCGCAGAAGCTCTACTCGAGGATCGTCGTGAGCTGCGTTCCAGCTAAAAACTCGGGGATGGAAGGGATCTCATGTGCATGATAGCAACTCTTACTTCATCGAGCCATGCGGCGTCACCAAGTCTAGCGCTAGCCTTAGTTGCGCCGCATGGTTCGTTGAGGCATATGAATAACGAACCCCACCCGAACAGCGAGGCAGCCTGGCGCATAGAAGCGATTGGTTGCTATCTTGCACATGAGATTCCCTTCATCCCCAAGGCGTCCTGCGCACAGCGGCCCAAGGGACTAGGGCTTGAAGAGAGAGGGATACCTGACAAGATTTGCAACGCACCTCACAGCAACATGGTGCAAGACAACTGCAGATACAAGCTCAATCAAGCCTTCTTTGCTGCGTGCACTAATAGTGCTGACAGTCTCTAAGCACTTCCTTGGCCCTTGGTAGGCAGCCTGCACTCAAGCAGAAGTACGTGTACCAATTCCGGGCAGACTATTCTACGAAAATCGCTGCGGCACCAGCTCCTCTTTTTGTTTTGTGGTTTCGCTTCACCTGGACGGTCGTGCATGGTTAGTCTGTTAGTTCACGCACAACCATTTTAGTACTTCTCCAAATAAATGGTTGCATAACTAAAACTGTCTACAGTGAGAAGAGCAGTGGTGGAAGGGGAAGCCGACGCAACCATTTTTAGCACTTCTTCAAATAAATGGTTGCATAACTAAAACTGTCTACAGTGAGAAGAGCAGTGGTGAAAGGGGAAGCCGACGCAATGCCGCCCGACGGAGTGGGGCTGCTGTGGGGCTGCATGAGCACTGGCAGTGCACAGGGGGGCTGCGGGGAGCGGGCCCGAGGAGTTATGAAAAATCCTCTATAAATCTTCAGTGCAGCCAATGGACGGTTGAAGGGTATTTCTTTTTGTTTGGTTTGTTGTTCCCCACTACTAGGCTGTCGCCTCCTTCTCTCGAACTTGCAGCCAAGATGACGGTGGGCATCAAGCCGAGTCTGATTCCCAAGAAGAATCGCCGGTTGATTTATGAATACCTCTTTAAGGGTGAGATTATGTAGATTATTTTCGAAGTTATAATGCCTTGTTTTTACTTTCTACCTCCGCTCCTTCTCCCTTCCAGCTTCACCGCGGCGACGGTTTCGTGGGGTCCTATTTCGGGTTTCATCGACTCACCCGCTTGTATTTAGACAGCAGTTTCGCACGTTTTATTTTATATATGTTGTTATATATTACAAACGTTGAACAAATGCGAAAAACAAAAGTGTGGCGTTGAACAGCGGCTGGCTTGCCGTATCTCGCCTCACCGACCTTTGCGCTTCCTGTTGTCTGGGCCTATGAGGGTTTTCAATCACTATGAATAAAATCAGTTCAGAGCGAGTTTTGAAACCCCTAAGCTTTTATCTGCAAACCCTTCAGCGAAAGTCCCTAGCGTTTTATCCCTACGGCGTCGACTCTAGTGAAACCTTAGACCCTTTTGCGATATATCTGGTTACCTTTTCATTCTCCCTGACCTTCTCCTGCGTTCGCGCTTCGGCTTTCTTTGGTATGCACTTTGTGTGTGTACAGATGTTTGTATTTTCGTGGTGGATGCATTTGTTTTGTTAGAGTTACTGATATTCATTAAAATGCTTCTTCCTCAAGCACATGCTTAAGTGTTTGCTTCTGTCTGTGGCTGCAGAGGGCGTCCTGGTTGTGCAGAAGAACCCCAAGTTGGAGCGGCACCCAGAAGTTCCCGTGCCAAATTTGCATGTGATGATGGTGATGAAGTCTCTCAAGTCGAAGGACTTCTGCGAGGAGATGTTCAACTGGCAGCACAATTACTACACCCTTAAGAACGAAGGCATGGAATTTCTAAGGGATTACCTGCGCCTGCCCCCCACTGTCTTCCCTGCAACTCTCACAAAGAAAACAACGACTCGCGCTCAGCGTCCAGGACCTGAGGGAGAGGCGGCTGGTGAACCCGAGAACTGGAGAGGCGTAAGCCACAATCTATTGAATTGAATTGATATATTCATGTATATAAATAGTATACATATGCGTGTACATAAGCTGTACATATAAATGTGTACATATAAATATAGGTACTAGCAATAATTCACTCCTGCACATTGCGTGTATTCATACCTGTCAGATGAGGTGTTATAGGCGTTGTATTTCTTTCAAGAGAGAAGATGAAAAGGGTGTGGCTGCTTTTCTTTTGTCTTTGTTGTCTGCAGGGAATGGGCAGAGGCAGAGGGCGGCCAATGGGCGAACGTGCTGGAGAGCCCCGAGTTGGGGGCGAGAGGGCAGACAGACCTCCTCGCTACGCTTAACTTTTCTGGTTTTGTTTGCGCGGGGGTGAGGGAAGGGGGTTGTTTGTTGTTTTCTTCCGCAAGAATCAATACAGAGCCCTTGCGCTCCCTCTTCCGCCATCAAACAAACCCTACAGTTTTGTTCGTCCTGCGTATTGAATTCCTTCAACTGCCAGTTGCCTCTGTGCTCAGCTTGCAACGACTACCAGAAATACATTTATACCATATAGAGGCATATACAAACACACACATGTATGTAGAGATGTAGTGTTAATAGTAGTAGTAGTGTATATAATATATATATATATATATATATATATAT